AAAACACTTTTACAAACATTCCCAGAAACCATGGAGTCTGTTTACAAGAGGTTTGACTCTTATGACTTCGACTCAGATACGAAATTTCAGGAAGGACTGAAGCTTTTTCACCGGAACAACAAGAACAGCAGCGGCGGAGGAGAAGACAAACTGAAGGACATGATGCTCTTCTTCTATGACAGGTCTGTCACAACAACTCTGCACGTTAGCTCCTTCTTTACCTTCACAACTACCTGCTCTGCTGCCAATAAACATATATTTTTTTCATATTGTACTGCGTTTTCTGCTAACGTAACTTGTATGTGTCCATGTACAGACGTTTTGCCTAATAAACGACGTAAGAAAGTTGAATAGTTCCTTGTGCGTTTGCTACGTAGCATAACTTTTTTGTCAGTTTAATAATTTATTTATGAGAACTGCAGGGAAACCCCATGTCTTTATGAAGTTTTAACTTTCATCTATTTTAAATGTATATTTTCTGTCAAATGTAAAGTTCATTGTACTATGGGTAGTAACCAGGCTCTACTCGTAGGGAACCAGACATTCTAGAACAATGTTTACCAACTTTGTTTGAGCTACGTAATAAAAGATAAAATAAACTTTTACTCAGTCTGTTGAGTTGAACTCAACGCTGATACTGTGTATTCAGAAATGGAAGGAAGACACACGAAAAGATCTCCTTAAAAAGCTTTAATTTGCTCTTATTGCTAATATTTTTATAGCCATCTGCTGCCCCCTTGTGGAAGACTTTTTAATTGTTTTGTTTGTCTCTGCCACACATGAACAAAGACAAATAATTTGCAGTCAATAAAAAAATAGTTTTCAGACCAATTAGGTTATATTTGATGATCAAATTCCCTTTATGTGCCAGGGGATAAATACTGATTCTGATTTTAAAATAAATTATAAATTATTTTGCATGACATGCACATATTTGGACCTAGAAATTGTTCAACTTTTGCTCCTCAACTTGCTGTTAAACTGGTTTTCCTGTTGTCACCAGGTTCGTCGAGCCCATTGACCAATCAGGCTACAGACAGTGGAGCTCCACGTCTCCACCTGTGACACTGAAGAACTCCAGGACGGAGCCTCAGGACGAGGAGACGTCCGTGGCCTCAGACTGTGACGGCAGTAAAGGACGTGCAGATGTGACATCTGTGGGAGCAGAGGTGACGCAGCTTTCTTTTGCTGAGGTGATGCAGTGTATTCAAGAGGGCAGGGAAATTCCTGGAGTCAAAAAACTGGACATTACACCCAGCAACCAAAATCCAACTCCTTCACAGATGGAGCGAATACACAAACCCTGGGAAAGAGATTTATCTCCCAAGTAGGAGTTTTGGAATTTAGTTTTTTTTTTAACTTAAATTATTTTTTTTGTTTTGTAAAACATGGTTTTCAGGATAATTCAACTTTTTAAAAAAGTTTGTTGTTGGTGTACAGCTCCGTGAGCTCCTCACATCACAGCATGTTTGTACAGAAATCTAATAGTACACAAATGAAAAAATATGTAATTAATTACTACTTTAAAATTAGTTATTCTAATAACTACATTTTTAATTAAATAGTAATATTTTCCAGCTTAAATGAAGTACTGCAGTACTAGGAAAATTGTTTGTTGCCCAATTTGCACACAACCACAGCAGGCATCAGTTGTTTAATTTTAAATAAACTTCCAATACAAAAAAAACGTTCGACAAACTTTATTGTCCACTGATGACACTCAATGTATCTTCAACAAACTGGCAAACAATTTCAGGAACATTAATGCCACCTACTGGGCTGGAGTGTATATGTCAGATTAATGCCACCTACTGGGCTGGAGTGTGTATGTGTTACCAGTGTGCCAGCAGAGAGAGAGAAAGAGAGAGAGAGGTATAAATCAGAATAAACTGAAAAGTATCTGCAGCAAATATTTTTATTTTTTTGCAGCAGTTTGTAGCACCATTAATTCAAAATGAGTTGCAAAATAATTGATATGTAATTTGGGTTAATTACATTTCTACTACAACATACATCAGGGAGGAACAATATATTCCTCTAATCCTGAACAATTAGCATAACACAAATAACTGATGTTAAGCTAATACCGATAAGAATTCAATTGAATCATTAAAAAAACAAAAAACACTGCTGGTTGTAGACAGTCCCTCCAAACAGGTTTCTTCATTTTTAAACAAATTTTTAAAAAAATTAAAAAAAATAATTCCAGGTTCACATTAATATTCATTCATGTTATAAAAATACACACACTATAACGACAACATACTGCATACAAAATAAAAACCTAACAGAAAAGTCAGCTGTAAATGTTTTGCCCGCCAGGGCAGAGGTAAGAGACTCGTTGTAAATGTTGCTGTAAACCCAACAGCTCTGACATGTTTAAAACATTTGATGTCCTTAAAGTTTAAAGACAAACACTGATCTCAAATATCCAGCTGCAGGTGAAACAAACCAACAAAAAAAAAAACACTTTGCGTTTTCCTTGAATAGTTCACAGGTTATTTTTGATCAGTGAAATATTTCATGTTGAATGTGACGCGTTACACTGTCACTGTCTTAGTTAAAAAAAAAAAAAGAAAGAAATGAGAGTTGTTCTAAAACTATGGTATGTGTACCACTGGTTGTAATGGTTGCAAGGCACCCTCTAGTGGTATGGTGGGGGATTAAGACGTTTGAGAACCACTGTGATAAACAGTTAGTGATTAGAAATAATTTATATTGGAACAACAACAGGTATTTGACTGACTGACATGTGTCAGTGTTGAGGTAGAGAACTGTAGTCACTGCTGTCAACGTTACTACAGGCAGTTGTTCACAGCAACATTATTGTTTTCCAAAGCACCATTACTGATCAAACTGATCAATTGTTGTTTTCTCTCTCTGAGACGACGTCTTTTTGCAGTGTTTTATGAAATTAAAAAACAAAAAAAAAGTACAGTAAGTAAAATCATCTTTAAAAGCCCAAGAGTCGACCGTGTGGACAGTACGGACTGCGGTCAGAGGTTCATCGTTGACGCGCCGACTTGACTTTCCTCTTGATGTTTTTAACATTCATAGTAATCCTTCAGTGGGGCGAAAAGGTGACGAATAACGGGGACGCTCCAGGAGCGCCCCAAGACTTTCTGCCTTTGACCCCGGGACATGTTGTTCACATCCGTGTAGTGTTTGGGGAATCCAAAGATCCTGGAAGATTTAACAGAACAGGACATCAGTTCAGTGACAAAACCTTCAAATCACACGGTCAAGTAAATGTGGGGGAAAATGAGACAAAAAAAAAAAATCAGGAGATATTTGTGTGTATATTGTACTTTGAGAAATACTTACTGTTCCATTTCAGTACACCACAGGTAGTCTTCCTTTCCGTTCATGGTGACGGGGAGCGGTCCCCCTTTCCCCTGTCGTATGGAGTTTGACTTGGTGGTGATGGTGCGGACTTTGTCAAACTGTAGAAAAAGTGGTTTAAAATGTTATTGTTGGGTAACATTTGATTGATGGTTCTTTTATTCTCTGGTCTGGTAAAATTAAAGTACTCGAAGTTTACAGTATCTCTGACCGACTGTAGTGACATTTTTTTCTTGAGGTCTGACTGTTTTTACCATTGCCGTGCGTCCGATCTCCAAACAATCCTGAAGAGATACTTTTTCGTCAAATGATGCAGCCAGTGGCCTGGAGACAAAAACAACAGGTTGTAGGAAGGAAGTGGAAGAAGTACAGTAGTACTAAAGAAGTGATGTATTTGTGTGTACTGTGTACTGTACCTGTTCATGCCGGGGAGATTTCCCCAGAAGTATCGTGCTCTGTGAGCGGGACTGACTTTGACCGCGTCAATAAGAATAGGGTTACACTACAAAAAAAAAGTAAAATTTTTAATTTCAGGAGATCGCTGCAGTTGAACTGAAAATGAAAAAATAATTCATCGATCAGTAATAATAACCTCAAGAAATCTGCAGATGTCCGATTTGTCTTTGGCGCTCATGAAGACCACGTTTTCAAACAACCAGAAGAACGGCCGGTTCTCGTCCTCCCTGGGCTTCAGCAGAGTCAGGATGCGGTAGAACTCAAAAAATAGCCTACCGGTGCCCTGAAAAGGTCAAACAGAGAGAGAGAGAGAGAGAGAAAGTGCTTTAATGAGACGTTGGTGATGTCATAACCTTCTGTGGCTCTTTATAGGTTTAGAGGCTTTTTTTTACCAAACAGTCCTTTTCGGATAGGGTTGACCATCGACAGGTCGTTGCACGGACTTCCTCCAATCAGGAGGTCGAATGGACCCCACTCAGCCAACTGCAGCACAGACATTTTGATACTTTTAGAGGTTTGTTCACATTGGTTTGGTGGTAAACGTTGTCATCCTGCTGCAGCTGGTACTCACGTGTTTCCTGGTGATGGTGCGAACGTCGTTGACGTATTCGATCTTTCCCTCGTGCTTGATCATCCCCACGGCGATCGAATCCTCACAGATCTCTGAAGCGATGTAGCGCTCGATTTTGAAGCCCAGGTCTTTGAGAACCAGGTATCCTGTGGGGATGTGAGCGTCGTTAGAGTCTGGACTTTCACACTGAATGTGTTCCTTTGATCCAAATTGAACATCAACATCGTCTCTCATTTATATTTTGTCGTGTGTTCGGGTCAGTTGTTCATAATTTTCTCTTATATCTACGACTCGTGTCAGTAAGAACCGATGGATCCATGTCTGATAACTGGGTCTGTCATGCACAGGTGTGTCAGTGTTTTTGAAGGTAGACCGGAGTTACTGAGACACCGCTGTCCTCGTCACACGTCTAGTCAGAGGGTTTGGAGTTTGATCCACTCACCTGTCGCAATGCCATCAAAAAG